GGAAAGCTCTCGAGATGTGCTATAAGAATATGCAATGAAAAATGGGGTGTTCCATTTAAAAAAATTAATGTGACCTTGACCTGACCTTCGCTACGCAACCCAAGGTCAAACTGATGTGATCAGTAAATACATCTTTTTAAACGCCACAACTTTTGTCTGAAACATTTTTTTGTAAAACTTATATTTTTCCTGATATTCGGGCGTCTCGGTACTTTCCGAACACCCTGTATATATATATATATATATATATATATATATATATATATATATATATATCGTCGATATTGAGATTATTTAATAGAAAGTTACTATTTAATACGCGTATCAAATGCACGATGTAAACTAGGCCTATATAAGTATAGACTGCTAGTTGGCCTTTTCATGCTGTAATCAATATGAAGAGCGCCTCCAAAGAATAAGTGGCGAATTGCAGTACTTCGATGACATATTGTGAATTCACGCGTAATAGCAAATCTTTACCAATTCAATGCTTGATATAATAAATTTAATAATACACAAAACAGTAGACACTTTCGAAGGGAAAAGTGAGAGAAGAAAGGGATTGATTATTAAATACATATTAACAATGGTTAAATATTGTTTCATAAATGGATGTTACTCATCCACTTATAAAAAAAAGAAAGAAGACAAAACGAATTTGGTACAATTTTTTAGGTTAGTTATTTATTTTTTTGTAACCTAAAATTTCATATATTGCAAAATAAAGTTTCTTGTTGAAAGTAATTATTAAACATTATTTTATGATACATTAAATTATTCTTGATATATGAATGTTATACTGAAAAATAAATGTTAATCTATTAATATGATTGGTATTGAATAGAATTCCATCAAACTCGGTCATTAAAAAGCAGTGGTTAGAGGCATTTATTGCTGCTGGTCACAGCAAAGAACATGTGGTACAAATTAAAAAATATAGTACAATATGCAGCCGGCACTTTACAAGAGATTGCATTGAAAAAATAGGGTTATCATGTGGTAGGTTGAAAGAAAACTCTGTGCCGACAATATTTCCAAATACACTGAGTGGCAACACAGCAAGGTACTAATGTTTTATATATGAGTAAATTTGTATGTATATGTATTTGAATTTTCCCAGATAGAAAAATGTATTCATTCTGAGCTCATATTGTATTCATGTATCTTCAAGCATGAGGACAAGAATAGACATCGATACAGGCTCATATGTGCCTCAGAATGTAGACATGTTATGATGTCACAAAAATACCTCATTTAATAATAATAATCAATATCAATATTTGCAATATAATTTGTACATCATTTGTGTGCATCTGGTGCTCATGTCATGAGATTACGTAATGATCTTTAAAAAAGTATCTTGGAGTAAATTGGTTAAGTAAATTGGAGTCATAGTATGAAGTCACATTGTGATGAAACATCATCACGCATTTCTATCTGGGTTATATGTTATTTTATTATATGTGTTTGAACATTAAAATTGTCATGTTTTTAGTATGGCTGGCATAGACAAAAATATATCAGCAAATACCTCATTTGTACAAACGGATATTAGACAACGTGAAGAGATAAGTGACGAAACTGTTTCAACAAAACGTATATGTTACGCAGGTGACATAAACGTAGAAAAAGTGGGAAGCATGTCACCAAGAGTAGTAGCGAAATCCATGAATATATTAAAAAAGACATGTGAAAAGAAAAATATAGTTATTAAACGATTAAGAGTACAGTTACATCGCCAAAGAAGAAAGATTGAAAACTTAGAAACTTTATTGAATAAACTGCAAACAAAGGGTCTTTTTTCTTCAACTTCGCCTGACATTGTACAGGTATGACAAAGAACAAGCGCATTAAATAAAAAGCAAACAAAATGTCATTCAATATGACATATTTTGTATTGTATATAATATACTTATAATGCCATTCAATAACCTAATAAGTAGTATACTAAGGCTGAATCCTCATACAGACTACGGCGCTTTAGCACCAGCGCTCAAACGCTGTTTCAAATGTTGAGCAACAGCCAATGAGAGGTGTCCAATTGAGTACAATCGAAGTGATACTTTTTGTCAAATTTTATAAATAAACTAAATAAATGGTAAACTATTTTTATTATGTTTCTTTGTATTAAATGATATGTAATCTATTTGATTTTACATGTTTTTCACAAAATTAAAAAATTCGATCTTTAGCAGCCATAAAACTGATCTAGTGATTTTTTGATGACAATGCGTGTCCAAAGTTCGACCAAGTTCAACTTTTTCAAACAGCATATATACGCACATATGAAATTTTTGGCTACACAATATACAATAGTGTATGTACGTGTGTACGTAGAATACGTACTATATATGGTGAAAGAAAAATTCATTTAATTCGATGTTGATTTGTTTAAACATCGGTGTAATACCGGATTAATGAATTTTTTTCTTTTACTAAATGTAGTACGTATTATACGTAGAAATAGTTAAAAAAAAGTTGTACAAATAGTTGAAAAGTTGCAAGAAATGGCCAAAGTAAGTACTTCAGCGAATATCTTTTGCAATAAGATTCCACAATATATTGTGGAAATAAATGTGTATATTAGAAATAATAAATATAATTGCACATTCCATATTAAATGTGTAATAAAATTCTGAAGAATTATATTATTTGTTGAAACAAGGTAATAGTTACAGCGAATAACATTACGTTATTGATAACTGAACAAATTTTTAGGAAATCGTGTAATTTTTTATTGAATCTTCATACAAAATACCCAGATAGATAAATTTCGTTATATATTTTCTGCAAGATGCTTCCTCATATAACAAGCAGATATGTAGCATGCGTGCTTCATATGACAAGAATTTTGACACAATATAAAAGACGTGATCTGATGTCACAAAAATTGAGGCAATTACAACGATATTCTGATATCATTTTATACATCATAAAATTGCATCAGAATACCGCTGTAATATTGCCTCAATTTTTATGACATCAGATGATGTCTTTTATATTCTGCCAAAACTCTCTTGTCATAT